AAATAATATCTTAAACTTATTTTTCTTAAAACATGGAACAATTAATAAAGAAGTAAAGCAACAAATTATCTCTTCTAGCTACGAACTTTAAAATTAAAACTTGTAAAATTTTGCACATGGAGGATGTGAAACAAAATAATTTTTTTAGGTTTTAGAAATACCTTTTGAAATAACTATAAATCATAAATTACTAAAACAATACCACAGAATTTCACTACAATTTATCAAGCTTAGTAACTAAGCTGTATTAGGGTAAAAAATATGAAATTTCTAGCTCACTGAAGTCTTACCTTACTGCTTGGAATCTAGCTTGAAAAGAAAGAGTTTGCCATGCAAATACTTAGCAGAGGCTTAAAAAGCCAGTAGGGGGACATTCTGAGCTTACAATTGGTTATTCACATGTCGTAGACAGAAGTAGGTGTATGTAAGCATTTCCAAAAATAGAAAGAGGTGGGTGGGGCCACTGTGTTTGATACAGTAAATGTAGCAATATCTCAGCAAATAGAAAAGATAGGAGGTTCTGATTTTATGTTCTAACTTGTCAATATCAGCAATTTGAATATCTAATTTGTAAGAAACTATTTGGACATCACAAATATCTAATTTGAACCAATGCTGCATTCAACATGCCACGTGATGCAATAAAATCAATATTTAGGAATTTTTGTAATATGTACTTTTAAATTAAGAAATTCAATACCTTATAATACTAGAATTTGAATTATAACCTACAATTTGATACCAAACTTATTGACATAAATTCATAAAGTTAAATAAAATTTTGAATGCGAGTCAACAAATGCGATGACATGACCTTTGACCCGTGTGGATAGGGTTAAATTAGACTTGTGTCGGGTGTGGCTAGGATTTTAATAATAACAAACTTATTACATAGGAAGATGGTGAAACTCCCGAGAACTCGCCAACAGCTTTGTAACAACAGAAGATGATGGATGTAACCCTGAGGAGAAAGAGTACAGATTAGAATGTACGTTACGACATGCTGCCATGAGTAGAGAGCTGCAGGAGTTAGACAAGGCTCTTGCTTTGAAGGAAGACTTAGCCAGCAGAATGCAGGAGAGTGAATGTCATATGGATGTCCTTCGACTACAATATGAGGTACTAATCAGTTGCAGCTCTAAAGTTGTTTATTAAACTGAAAGAATATTTGTTTAAATAATGTCCTTCGGAGGTCACATAGTATTTGGAGTGGGATGTTTGGGGCGGGATATTAATTATGATAAAAAAATACATCAATGCTTTATTGAAATGTATTGATAATAAACACCATAGTAATGCACTAGTAGGTAAAAAAACGTTAATTAACTAAGACTTAGGGTCAAGGGTGATAAAATAAGCTCTATTTTCAGCTTCATTTTTTAATTATTAATTTTTACCTGATGACTGGTAGGTCAGTTGTATGTAGTTCCTTGGATGCCACTCAACTTCTCAGTACTAAAGTATTATTATTGCGGGTTTTATTTACCAGTAATCATTGATATTAAAGTTCACATAGCATTATATTTTGGAAACTATTGTCAATAAGTTTTTATAATTTTTAATTGAAAACAAGAACCATTTTAATGAAAGAACACTGAAATTTTACATATATTCAAGCTTTCAATATAGTATACTGTTGGAATTATTATTTTTTTAATAAAAAAAGCTGCTACATCATAAACCAGTTACATATAGCTTCTAATATTTGAAACCTCATTCCCAAACATTGTTATTTATAATGACTTTTTTTTTTTCAATGGTTTGTGTAATGAAAGGTTCCACGCCCATTTCTTATGATTCAAATTAATGTAGAAGACGCTGTTAAATCCACGGAAAATTTAAGAAGCAATAAAATGTATTATATTTATTGTTATGGGTCATTTATCCATATTAGTAATTTGGACTTTAAGTCTTTCATTTTTTAAATACAGAGTAATCTCCGCCAGTTGGAAGAAGAAGTTACTCAGTTGCAGAAAGAAAAGGAAGAACTGTCTTTAACTTTAAGAGCAGTTCAGACTAATGTTACGTCAAAAAAGTAAGTTTTTCAAAGGCTGCATAATGACTGTCATGACTACTAAAATAGTTTAACACCTCTCTCTGTGTGAACTTGGTCAATTCAACCCGAGTTTATGAGTATCAGAGTTTCCATGCTCTGGTATGGTAAACATTATAATTTCTGTACACAAAAAGTAAGTTTTTCAAAGGCTGCATAATGACTGTCATGACTACTAAAATAGTTTAACACTCTCTCTCTCTGTGAACTTGGTCAATTCAACCCGAGTTTATGAGTATCAGAGTTTCCATGCTCTGGTAATGGTAAACATTATAATTTCTGTACACAAAAAGTAAGTTTTTCAAAGGCTGCATAATGACTGTCATGACTACTAAAATAGTTTAACTCTCTCTCTCTCTGTGTGAACTTGGTCAATTCAACCCGTGTTTGAATATCAGAGTTTCCATACTCTGGTATGGTAAACATTATAATTTCTGTACACAAAAAATCTGATTTTTAATTAAGCGTAAAGCCTCCTAAAGAAATATCAAACTTTTTTTTTAGATAATGAAAAAAAAATAAAAATTCTTCACGGGATATGTTCGCAAGCAACTAGTGCATTACGTAATTCAGTATGGTAACATGAGCTACACGTTCACCAAGTGATTTACAAAGTGTGGTGGAATTATTAGTTAGAAACAGTTCAAATGGCAATAAAAATAAGTATAAACACATGGATATTGTTACGAGCTCTAAGTTATTTTGGATAAACAATTGTAGCCTTCTATTACAATTTGCACTCATTCTAGAAATAAGAAAGGGTAATTTAGACTTAGTTTGTATATTTTAATGGTGGTTACAAGGTCAATAAAATCAATCCAATGCACATGGAGTTAGGGTGGAGAAAATAACAGATAAAATAGACAGTTTTACTGAAGTCCATGATATTTGTAATAGTCTGAAAAGTATGGCAGAGGATAGGTTAATTTGTTAAAAGAAATTAATGTATTTTAATTTGCTATTTAGTTATTCATGCACAATTAACATTATGTGCTTCTATATTGTGGACCTTTTTATTTATGCATTAACAACAGTATGAACAACAAACTAAAATGAAAGAATAGAAACTTATTAGCATTACTGTGTTTGCACTTAGCCACCAGATTTTTTCACCTTGTGTTCAACCTGTGTAAAATTTATCGGTTCTTCTAAACAATGTACATTATCTGAATCATAGAATATACAAGAGTTTTGGGTATGGGATGTGTTTTGTAGCAGGCATACTTTGAAAATTATACATTCACTGTATGTTGGAGAAGTCAATCTGAGAAAACGTGCTACCCTTTGATATGCATATCCAAAACTTAAGTAGATTGGGTAACATACTCCCGTTTGAAAAGGATAACCCCTGTTCTTTTAAATACCTAAACATAGCTCTTAGTTAGTATCTTTCACGGGTAGTTAAATGGCCTGTTTTTATGACTTGCATCAAAGTATATGTAAGTAGTCTTGACTGGCTATGAAAAAGATAACGTAAAGGATACTAGTTAAGTAGTTGAGGAAGGTCATTTGACCAAGTGACCACTGGTAATTTTGCTATAATGGCAGTTTTATTTGTTTTTCTGTATATTCATACTTTATATGATAAAATTGTTTCATATTACCCTTTTACTGCTAAGCATTTCAGAAGTTGATTTAGGCTGTTAAGTCTTCTGTTTTATGAGTTAAGCATTGAGACTATTGACTTAGTAAAGGAATTTGGTAATATTTTTAAATACTTGTAAGAATTATTCTAAAATAAATAAAAGTAGACATTCTTGATTTATTTTAACAAGTTATAAAAATGTATTTTATAGTGTCTAGCAAATATAGAAAGTAAGTCTGATTTAGTTATAACTTGAAATTAAAAAAGTTAAATAGAGATAAGGTGTAAGTAATAGTAATTTTAAGTGACAAATATAATCACTATTATCATTCATATTTTGTTGTTTTTTCTGGTTGTTTATAATGTACTGATGTGAGTATAAACAACTACAGTTATTATTGCCTTACTATCTAATATTCTTAGAGTGGGTAAAAGTTAGTGTATATTTTACACTAACTTTTACCCACTCTAGTTCACTAACCCTATTTTAACAAATATACACTAACTTTTACCAACTCTAGTTCATTAACCCTATTTTAACAAAATACACTTAATTTTACCCACTCTAGTTCACTTACCCTATTTTAACAAAAATACACTAACTTTTACCCACTCCAGTTCACTAACCCTATTTTACCAAATAGTTAAAATAGGGTTAGTGAACAGCGCAGAAAACGACTTCAAGAATGTGAAACGCAAATTTCTCAACTGAAGAAAAAAATGGTGGAGCATACAAGAATGCTGAAAATGAAGGAAGAAGCAGATAAGAAAGTCAAAAATCTTCAACAAGAAATTACGGTAAGAAATTAAAAAGTCTTATAAATATTATTGAAGTTTATCTTTCTAGATGTTATGGAGAAAAGTGACAAATTATTAAAATTTGAAATTCTTAATTCAACTGCAATTGGCTAGTGTAAATGGTCAAGAAACAGAATAAGAAATTACAATTTTGAGAT